ACACACACACACACACACACACACACACACACACACACACACACACACACACATAGAGAGAGGGGGGGTGCGGAGGGAGAGAGAGAGGACTTTGCCCTTGCATAAACCCTGGGCAGAATTGTTCACTCCTCCATTACTGAAACCTGACATTATAGCCTTCACTTCCCCCTTTTCCCACTAGACAAGAAGCTTTATTGGCAGAAGAGTACAAATCCAAGCCAGGGTAGAGTCAGAACAATTTCTTTCCTGGGGAGAAATTCTCTTCCACTGGCTGGGGCTCTGAGAAGCCTTCAGTGAACCCAAGGCAACAGGGTCTGAGAAACCTTCAGTGAACCCAAGGCAACAGGATCTGTTGCTATACCAGTCAAGCCCTGGGTGTCACTGGTTTCATCCTCCTCATTTGGTTCTGCAACCATGCAGGAGGCTGGGGCCAGTGAGAATATTCTGGAAGTGGAGGGATACTGTCCATTCTCAGGCCAAAGGGTTGCCCTACAAGAGGCAGTATCAGAGAGCTCATGAGAGATAAGATGGGCTGTGACAAATTTTTGGCAGGGATGCAAATCCCAGCCTTCAAAATGGTGACCATGGCTGAGGTCACACTTTGCTATGGGACATCTACAGTGGAGTGGCCATTTCAAGCAGGTGTGGCATCAGGATAAAAGATAAGAGTATGAGGAAAGCCACGGGGTACCTTTGTAAGCAAGCAGGTCTGGTAGAGCTGGGCTGAGTAGGCTCTATGATTAGATAGAGGCCTAGAGGAACACATTTCTCTGCTGTGCAGTCCCTCCCCTGAGGTCATTAACTAAGGAGAATCATTTATCATCAGAAGCCCACAACTTTGAGGTCTTGTAAGTTCTTCTATATTTTAATAGGGTGTTAATGACTGAGCCAAATGATAAAAACATCCTATGAGCTACTAAGGGCAGGGACATAGAGGGATGTGGAAATAGGCTTCTACATTCTTAAAGTTTGCCTTTATTTGCCTTTTAGATAGCCGCCATGTGACCTGTTCATGTTTGAACAGTGCTTTCTGGTCCATTTTATAATAGCTAAGGAAAGTGGTGCCATATGTAATAGGTAGAGAAAACCAAGGAAGGAGAAACATCAGTGGTCTCTCAACAAAAATGCTCAAATGGTCACCTTTTGTTTCCACAGACAAGAGTTTCAGCACTTCTCACCTCCTCCGGGGGCCCCAGGAGTCCCTACCTCTTACTCAGCCTATTATAATATCTCTGTGGCCAAAGCAGAACTGCTGAATAAGTTAAAAGAGCAGCCTGAGATGGCAGAGGCCGGCCTGGGAGAGGAGGGAGTTGACTATGAACTGGCTCAAAAAAAGGTAAGGAAATCCCAGAGATTTCTAGCATTTAGCTGTGTCTGAAGGACAACTACCCCTTCCACACCCCCAGCATGCCTTTCAGTCCTGTATTTCAGTATGGAAATCAAACAGCTCTCCTCCGTCTAGTCTCTAATCAACAGTAGCAGCACTCATCATTATCTCTCTAATCCTTAGAACCATCTTGCTTTGGAGTGTGTGTGTGTGTGTGTGTGTGTGTGTGTGTGTGTGTGTGTGTGTGTATCCCTACCTACCCGCCCGTCTGTCTGTCTGTCACTGGGGATTGAACCCAGGACTTTATGTGTGCTACACTGATGCTCAACCTGAGTCTCAGTGGAAATTTTTGAAGCATTTGGGATCAAAACTAGGGCCTAGCATGTGGTTAGAAAAGCACTTTGCACTGAGCTGCATCCCCAACCAACCTCCTTCCCTTCCACCCTCCCTCCCTGCCTCCCCCACCCCACTTTCTTTCTTTTGTAGTGCTAGGGCTGAACCCAGAGCCTTGCCCTTGCCAGGTCAGAGTTTTAGCACTGAGTTACAGCCCTAGCCCTGCAAGGTAAGTGTTATTATTGCCCCCACTCTTTTAACCAGTTAGAGGAACTACTTTTTCCAAGGCTACATACTAAATAACGGGTCCTGGACTCAAGGCAGGACTGGGTTTCTGCTTTCCCATACTGTCCTTTTGAATTAAGCAATCTAACTCACTGCCTAAGGCACATCAGAGCTCTGGCCAATGGTAGTGCCATTAATTTGTATTCTCTGTAAGTTTCTGGGAGAGAGAACAGACTGACTAAGGAGAAATTATAGGCTGGCAGACTATTATTTATTTGCAATGATGGTCAATTATCTCTTGAAAATACAAAATAGGTAAATGGGGATGTTGTTGTTGTTCCAAGCCTCCCTTTCTTCCTCTAAGTACCAGTAGCCTAGTTTTTTAATCAAGTTCCTGGAATCATTTTACCCACCCCTTGCACTTACCTATTTTATTTCATAAGCAAATAGAGTTGTCATAGCAACCTCAAAGGCCCAATTTACCATTTTGTGGACATGTGAACTCAATGTAAATTGCTCTTCTGCCCATATTTCTCTTTCAGGACATGACCTGTAGGAAAACATAAGGCCATTTTCAGAAGCCCTCCTTCCAATTTTCCATCTGAAGCAAAATGTCAGGGAAATAATTGGACCATGGAAGTGTCAAATGTTATTGATCCAGATGCTCTTCCTTGGAGTCTATGTTTCTTGAACATGGCAGAGTGGCTCCTTGCTTATTCAAGGCCTGGCCTTTCCAGGGACAAACATAATGAAAGTCTAGCCAAGGGAAGAGAGATGACTGGAAATGGCAAAGAACAGAATAACAGAGAGTGATTTGCAATGACCGCGGGTTGGGCAGGGCAGTGTTTGTGTGTAAGGAAGAAAGGAGAGGAAGGTCATCAATTTGCAGTGTTCCAGAAAAACAGCTCAGCTCTGGCTGAGCCTGTGATGACTCGCCAGTTTCATACAGTGCATATACAGTATGCCTTCCCCAGGCTAAAGAGTCAGGTTATATAGCCCAGGTCCTGCAAAGTAAAGCGTTCCCTCCACTTCCATTCTCCCTCCATCCCCAGAGGTCGGCATCTGGGTGAGGAAGTGAGAATCCAAGTGGGTCATCCTTTGACACTGACATCGGCTTTTGTATGAGAGAGTGGAAGGTGACAAAATCATTGAGAAGATTTTGAAACCTCGTTATGTTTCCTCTTTCCTGTCACTGGGCTCCCAGTTCTCAGTGGATTTGGTGATCATCCCCACACTTCCAAGCACAAACATGATGATTTCCTGACAACAGGCTTTGGAACCTTGTAGTCTGGTCACCTTCAACATTTCCAAATGAGCTATCAGAAAGGAACACTCCAAGTCTACACATCCCAGAAGCCTAAACTTGAATAATAATAAATCAAACACTGGAGCTTACTTCCTGTGTACAAAACACTATCCTAAGTCTGTATTAGTTCACTTAATTCTCATTACCACTCTGTGATATGGGTGCTATTGTTCTCCTGCTTTTTTCCTGTAGAGCAGTTGAAGCACACAGAGGTTGAGTAATATGTTAGCAGGTCAGACCACTACTTTATGGCAAGTCTGATATTCAAAACAGTCTGTTGCTAGAGTTCATGATCTTAAGCACAATGCAATACTGGCTACAAAGGCTGTAGGCAACCCAGCATAGTCTCTCTCTCTCTCTCTCTCTCTCTCTCTCTCTCTCTCTCTCTCTCTCTCATTTACTGGCTTGTTCTCACTCTGTCTTGCTTCCTGGATCACTCTCCCTCACTCTGGTATATGTCTGTACCAGGATGTGTATGTGTGCACACATATGTGTGTGCATGTGTATATGGAAGCTGGAGGACAATACTGGGTTTCTTCTTCAGTTGCTTCTTACCTTAGTCTTTATAAGAAAGTTGCTCTCACTAAACTTGGAGCTTAGTGGTTGGCTAGACTGGCTCATCAATGAACTCTGGGGGTCCTTCTGTCTCTATCATCCCCCAATGCTGGGGTTGCAGACACATTCTGCTGTGCCTGGCTTCTTATGATCCTCATGCGTGCATGCAAGCGCTTCAACCACTGACACATCTCAACAGCCCCTAGACATATATTCCTGAACTCCTTATAATAATATTAATAATAATGCTTATGAAAATGAAAGCACAAATAAATGTGCATTGGGCATTTACTGTCTCAGACACAGCAGTCAATAGTTTGCTTCTGTGATCACATTTACTATAAATTGTCACAGCACCCTGGACAAAGGTAGACTAGATGAAGAAGTAAACTTTGTATCTGAAGTTTCAGAGTTTGTAGAAGACATTATTCATATCCAGGGGTTTATATGACTGCAAAATTCCACTCACTCTACTCATTGCCTTCCTGTGAGTGTAGTCACACAACTGATTACTGCTATAAATGGGAAGAATAGGCTATGGTGCTTAATCTTGTCAAGTTGATTAGATTGATAGGTGCCTAGAGGCTGCAAAGCATGCCTTTGGGAGTTCTGTGAGGCATTTCCACAGAGGATTAACTAAGACATGCCCAAAATGTGGATGGCACCATCCTATAGACTGGGGGCCCAGATGCAGTAAAGGGCTAGGGTGGGAAAACCTATAGTACAGGCTCTCACTCTCTGCTCCTGGCTGCCACAATGAACAGAAGCATCTGAGACTGTGAGCCAAAGTACATTGTTCTTCTCTTAGTCCTTTAAGTTGTTTTGCATGGACACTTCATCACACAGAAAACAAAACCTAGCACATAGGCAGTACTTCCCTTGAGACACTGATAATGAACAGTGAAGGATTGAACTCACACACATGAAATAGAATTAACAAATGAAAATTACACTGTGTCTTAGTCACTGTTCTATTGCTGTGAAGAGACCACGGCCACTCTTATAAAGGAAAGCATTTCATTGGGACTGGCTTCCAGTTTCAGAGGTTTAGTCCATTATCATCATGGTGGGGAGCATGGCTGCACACAGGCAGACGTTGCTGCTAACATTTCTAATCTGGATCCAGAGGCAGCAGGAAGAAGACAGAGACACTGGGTCTGGCTTGAGCTTCTGAAACCTCAAAGCCCACCGCGAGTGACACATTTCCTCCAACAAGGCCACACCTACTCCAACAAGGCCATGCCTTCTAATCCCTCTCAAGTAGTGTCACTCACTAATGACCCAAGCATTCAAATATATGAACCTTTGGAGGCCATTCCTATTCAAACCACCTCACACTGTAATGTTCTGATTCTAAAGGTTTTGTTTTGTTTGTGGTTTTTCTGTTTGCTTGTTTGCAGTTCTAGGCATGGAAATAAGTACCTTATATATGCTAATGAAGCACTATACTACTGAGCTATACCCCTAGGGTAAAATACTTCAAAGCTCAAAAAGAAAGATACCATTTAGAGAAGACTTCTAGAAGAGGTTTTCCTATAGGAAGGGTGGGGGCAAAGCTGGGCCTTAGAGAAAGAAACAGAATAGCCTGCCCCCCCACCCTTCCCCACGCCCCCAACCCCCCCCGTACTGAGAAACTGAGCAAGTGGAACTACAGAATCAATTCAGACAGGCAAGAATGAGGGCTGTGGATACAGTGGAGCGGAGAGCTAAACCTGAATGGTTATGAGGTGGAGGTAATGGGTCATATTGAACAATAGTAATAACAATGGCCTACTTTTTATTGACACCTTCTCTGCTAAGTCTTTTTAATTATTATTGAATCATTGCCACTCAGTATAATGGACACAACACTTTACCTACAATCCTTCTACAAAGAGAGAAAGTGAAGCTCAATTAAGTCAAATCATTCAAGATCCTGCAGATAGAAATTGGAAGAGCTAGAAGTCAAACACAGTCATTGTCACTGCAGAATTTTCATTCTCATCCAAAAGCCTCAAAAGTGATCCAAGGGGACAAGGGCCTAGCACACTGTCATGAGCACCAAAGGAGAACATAGAAAGTGATTAGCAAATATCTGATGACAATTCTTTCCAATCTAGGACCTCAGAAGCTCTCTAGTTCTCATTTATTATAGTCTCAGTTGCATTTTGCAAATGTGGCTGGGTCCATGGGTACCACTTTCCTAATACCAGGAACTCTGGTAGTGACATGGAAATTCCTACCAAACAGGGAAGGAAGGTACCTATGCAGAAAACTGGAATTGCTTATCACTTGCTCAGGTTGCACTCTATCTCTTCCCTCTCTCCTTCCTGTCTTTCCTTGCCCTATCCCTCCTTTCCTCCCCCTTCCATTTTTAGTCTGGTCCTTTAGACAAGGTCTCAGTATGTAGACCAGGTTGTAATCCTCTTGCCTTCACCTCCCAAGTGCCAGGATGCAGGAATGTATTCTGCTAAACCCAAATCTGTTTCTGTTGAAGGCCATGCTCATCCTTTGTCTTCTATTTGGCTCTCTTAGATTCAGCTCATTGAAAGCATTGGTCGGAAACTTTCTGTCCTGAGGGAGGCCCAGCGAGGGCTCCAGGATGACATCAATGCCAATGCTGCCCTTGGAGAGGAGGTAGAGGCCAACTTAAAAGCAGTCTGCAAATCCAATGAGTTGGAAAAATATCATTTGTTTATTGGAGACCTGGACAAAGTGGTCAACCTGTTGCTGTCACTCTCTGGACGACTGGCCCGGGTAGAGAATGCTCTCAACAGCATCGATTCAGAGACCAACCAGGAGAAGGTACAGATGTTGTCTCTGAGGGTGTAGATGGAAGAAATGCCTCTTTAGCTTTTAATGGAGACAGGAAACAGCATTAAGAGTGTGAGCACTGGCTTTTTAGTGCCCTGAAAATTTGGTTCTGCATGTTAGCTGTGTGACTCTAAAGCAGCTTACTTAGCTTTACTCCGTCTTAGTTGCTTCATTTACAAAATGAAATAAGCGTGCAACCTGTTTCATGGGTTTTCTGTGATGGTAGAGATAATCCGAGTTAATTGCATAAAATAGTGTCTGAAACAGAGTAAATATGGAATCAGTGCTAGCTGCTAGTGCTGGTGATTGATAGTGATGGTAGTGATAGGGGTGGGGGTGGTAGCAGAAGCAGAAACAGCAGCAGGAACAGGAACAGCAGCAACAACAGCAGCCAATTTGCCTCTGATCCCCCTTAGAATTGCAAAGAGACCCTCAGTTTTGCACGTTATTTCATTATTCTGTAATCGTATTTGAATTCAACTCCATTACCTTCCCCTATACAAGTAGCTTTGATCCACGGTAAGAGGTCCATACACGTGCACACACAAATACACACCCCCAGGCATGACTTAGTCCCAAAGAGACACCGTACAGAAGGCATCACCACAATGATATTTGTTCAGCAAAATGGAAGGGACTTGGCTTTGTGAGAGGCTTCCTCAATGCCAAACCAAGTGGTGGTCCATGGTTTAAAGATAGCCTTAGAGATGGAGAGATGTGATTGCACACCTCCTATCCAAAAGTGCTGTCATGCTTGTCTTTCTGCAGCTACAGGCAAGGGAGGTTTGTGTGTGAACGAGTACTTTGGAGCAGGAAATCAAGGGCTGGTTAATTAGCAGAATGTATAGCTGCTCTGGAGCTGCTTCCTTGGTGGAAGACTGCTGTGCAGATGCCTGGGGACTGGGATAGCCTTTAATTGGTCCTCTGCTTCCCCAGGTGGTGCTGATGGAGAAGAAGAAGCAGCTGACAAACCAGTTGGCAGATGCCAAGGAGCTGAAGGAGCACGTGGACCACAGGGAGAAGCTGGTGTTTGGCCTGGTCTCCCGATACCTGCCTCAGGACCAGCTCCAAGATTACCAGCACTTTGTGAAGATGAAATCTGCTCTCATCATTGAACAGAGAGAGCTGGATGAGAAGATTAAACTTGGGGAAGAGCAGCTGAAATGCCTCAAAGAGAGCCTGCACTTGGGGCCCAACAATTTCTAATTCTACTGGTGCCACTGCACCCCTGCCTATCCCCAATGGAAAGTGCTTTCAATCTTCAGTAGCAGTTTGCTAGCTGACTATATAGAAATTACTTAGCAGATGGTTGCAGCCATCTACCTTGGCCAGCCATCGAGGAGAGCCTGGGAAGGCCTTAAGCTTCTGCCTTGCAGAGCTGAAGCAAGGTCTGGTTGTACTGCCATGTGCTCGTTCCCAGTGAGTGGGAACCCATAGAACCAATGAAGTGCCTTCATCTCTGTACTAGGACACCAAAGACACCACAAAGTCAATGTTCCCCCTTGCCACACTACCCTCGTGATGTTCGGAGCGAAACTGCCAGTGCAGTTTCCCTCTGCCCTCAGGCTAGTGGCCTAGCTTAGCCATTGTCCAGGCAGATTTGCTTGACTTGAATGCATTCACCTAACACCAGCGTCAGGCCCTCCCCCAAACTTCGCAGCAGGAGACAGAAGAGGAGATTGCATAGAAGGAGAGCAAATGTTGGGTATACCCCCGTACTCATCCTCCCCTCCAGTAAAACCCCAGCTTAAACAAAGTGGTTCCATGTCTACCCTCCCCGACAGCAAGCTGACAGTGTTTTACTATGGCCTTCCTGCCATAACATGATGGACCTACTACTTTAATTGTATCTTGCCCGGATATCACTAGGAGTCACATGCCAGGGCTTCACTCTTTGAGCCTCTAATATCTCTTTTGCAGCTGACTTCAGGATATAGCTTTATTATTGGGGGAGAGGATTCTTATTATATTTCAAATGGTCTTTGATTTTATTTAATTTTATGTTTTTTTTTCTTTGTTAACTAATGAGGCAAGAAGAAATAAGTTAGGGAGGGGGGTGTTAGCCAGAAGGAAAACATTTTGTGTAGACAGCCTGAGTCCACTGTGGCTAAGTAAGGAAGTGCCGAGGCAGTGAATTCTTCCTGCCATAGCTTCAAGGACCTAAGAAAGCTCTCCCCCTTGAACCCAGAGCCCCCCTGCCATAGCCCCCCTGCCATAGCTTACCTATGTGCTTCCTTGAGGTCTAGATGGCCGTAACATTCCTGAGTACAGTTCACTCTTTTCTCACTGCGTTTTGAAACTAGAAATTTTAGGATGCAGGAATGAATGAAGGAGAATGTGGAAGGCACTCTTCTAACAACTGCTTTCTCAGTGGCTAGCCTCAAGGAAACAAAACTAGAAGAGTACTTTCAGCCAGGGCCAGGCTCCAGTGAAAATTATGATCCATCCAGGATCTAGACAGACAGTATCCCTCCTTATCCTCTTGGCCTATGTACTAAAGCATCCCCCTCAGGTGGATGCCTGAGATCTCGAATAGTTCCAAACCCTGTATATACCACAGTTGTTAATCTCATCACTGAGGGGACTAATAAGCGACTAAAAAGAGGTAGCCTATATAGCATGGATACACTGGATAGATAGATGATTCATAATCCATGTGGAATGGAGCAAAGTTTTATCACACTACTCAGAATGGCACATAATTTACAACTTATCAGTTGTTTATGATATTACATTTAGTATTTTCAAACCATGTTTGATCATGAGAACTGAAACTATGAAAAGTAAAACCACAGATTAATGTACAAAGCACTAAAGCTGTTGCTTTTGCCAAGACTTTACATTTGTAGCCAGCTTCTGTCCTGGAACAGCATTTGGGAGGGCAATAGCAAGAGGGGAATCACCACCAAACTACCCTTTTATCTAGCTCAATCTTATGTTCCTTACTAACTGGGTGCAGTCCTTGATGTTGTCCCCCATAAATACAGCAGAAGTCCAAGACAACCAAGCCCTGGCATCACCACATGTTACTGCTGAGTTCCTCAGGGTCCTTGGAGGTTCATTGTAACTACAGTGTTTCCTCATCCAACCAAAGAATTTGCCAAGGAACTGCACTGCTGCTCCAGATACTGGTCACTGTCTTCCATTTTCTCCACATTGTGTCTGACAGCTTTCGGAGACTCTTGGCCAGCAGGGTATTCTAAAGCGGTGGCAACCTTGTCTGTGGCTCTCTGGGTATGTTTTAATAGTACTGCTGCCCCCACAAGAACCACTGTTACCATATCAGTACTGCCATTCTCCCCTCAAGTGGAAGATTACAAATTATTTTAAACATAACCCTGAAGTCTATACTGAGCAGCAAAGCTCTGTAGCCCCTATTATATGCTGTGTTGTGCAGTGCTGTGCTGTGCAGTGCTGTGCTGTGCTGTGCAGTGCGATGATGTGCAGTGCTGTGAAGAGCTATGCTGTGCTATGAAGTGCTGTGCAGTGCCGTGGTGTGCAGTGCTGTGCAGTGCCGTGGTGTGCAGTGCTGTGCAGTGCCGTGGTGTGCAGTGCTGTGCAGTGCCGTGGTGTGCAGTGCTGTGCAGTGCCATGGTGTGCAGTGCCGTGGTATGCAGTGCTGTACAGTGCTGTGCAGTGCCGTGGTGTGCAGTGCCATGGTGTGCAGTGATGTGCAGTGCCATGGTGTGCAGTGCTGTGCAGTGCCGTGGTGTGCAGTGCTGTACAGTGATGTGCAGTGCCATGGTGTGCAGTGCTGTGCAGTGCCATGGTGTGCAGTGCTGTGCAGTGCCATGATGCGCAGTGCTATGCAGTGCCATGGTGTGCAATGCAATGGTGTGCTGTGCAGTGCAATGGTGTGCTGTGCAGTGCTATGGTGTGAAGTGCTGTGCAGTGCTGTGCAGTGTGATGGTGTGCAGTGCTGTGAGGTGCTGTGCTGTGCAGTGCTATGGTGTGCTGTGTTATGCTGTTATGTTCTGTGCTATTCTGTTCAGGATGGCTGAGAGCTTACCCAAAGGAAAATTGGGAGATGTGAGGAAATACTTGTAGTAAAGGCCACACTTGCCTTACCTTCTTTTAATAATGGGCCCTAGGACAATCAATAAAGAAGTTCAAATGTCTTGTATTAGGATAATGAGAGTTATATGTTCTGTCATTCAGAGATGTGTGAGAGTTATGTATTTTATCATTTGAAGATGTGTTTGGCTGTAGTAGAGCAAGGAGCAGTCATTGTGCTGGATATGATGGCCATAGGCTGGATATTTGTAGCCTTTGTTATGTTTATTATACCTGAAGTATATGATTACCAAAAATGCTATTAACTGTGGTTTGTGTTTGTTTGTTTGTTGTTTAGCATCATTGGAGGAGGAACCCAAGGCCTTATGTTTATGTATACTGGGCAAGTGCTGTATCACTGGGCTACAGCCAATAGCCTAAATTCTCATTTTGTCACTCATCCCACCTCAAAATAGTTGGTAGAGTTGGATTCAGAACTCAGTTGGCTGGGTTTCGAAAGGATTTGAAAGATAACCTCAAAAATATACCAAGTAGCAAAGATCAATAGACTGAACCCACACTGGCATGCCCTACTCCTGCTGTGGCATTTCCATAGTGAGGAACATCACTGCAAAGTGCCAGTACTTTTTGGCATGGGATAGCTCTCTCTGGTCTTGGTTTCTGGGATCAGCCATCTTCCAAGTCCAGAAGAAGATAGCAGTGTGAAAGTGGGTCAAAAGATTGGCACCTCCCATCCAAAGGTTACTGGTCTTCCACTCTTTCCCTTCAAATACTTACAGAAACCTCACTAGAAAGCAGGGTGGATTGAAGGGAGTCAATGCAGGATTACTATCATACAACTATTTCCTCCATCCCCAGGGCTCTATATAATTGACTCTCCTCAAGTCCCATGATTGAAGACTCAGCCAAGATACAGAAGTAAACACCCAAGTAGAATCTAAGAGAATGAGATTGATATACTGGAATTAAAGCCCTAAAAAAGGGAGACATTGGATGCACAGGAAAAGAGAATAAAAACATAAAAATCCTCTTTCAAGATTGGGTTCATATTTCTGTTGCCACTTAACCTCATGTGCCAAAAAAGCTGCCTAAAGAGTACCAGGACTGCATCCTCAACTCCAGCCTCCCTGAAGGTGCTGCTTTTCAAGTAGCAAACCTCAGATGGAAGAACTTGGGTAGACTGCTAGCTATTTCTACCCATGTGGAACTTGGCAGCTCCCTCTCTTTGCCAGAGGAGCTGTGTATACCAATATTCATTCTGTGGCAGAATATTGTATTATTTGAAGATTAACTCCTTAGAAGGGGGTGAGGCATGGGGCAGTGTATATAGATAAAGAATCAGTGTTTGCTGTACAATTTCGGGGAGTTGTCTATCCCATGTACTGCTATTATTTTTCTGAATCTTACTGTTTCTGCATTTGTGTCCTCCACCACTCCCCTCTTGGCTGACATTGATATGCCTGCCATATTGTCACCAAGGGTCGTTCTTCAATAAAAGGTGCTAAGGACAACAGGAATTGTCTCTTATGTTTTGCTTATAAATATATAAATCCTCTAGTATTCTGATGAAAAATAGTAGAAAGGAATGTGGTTACTTATCTATAGTCTTCCCTATACAGCTATATGGCCAGAGCTTTATCCATATTCTTTAACTTACAGCCTGACACCCTAGGGATGGTAGTAATACTGCAGAATTCATTATCACCAGTAAAACAACAGGGTCTGCCATAGCCTTCTTAGGGGAATAGCTTTAGACATCTATTCATACTACTACTACTGAAGGATAAAAACAATCACCAATCTTACCCAGCTGTGAATTCTGCCACCTATAGTAACAACTGGCCTGACAAAACAATCCACCTGGTGAAATAGTGGCACAAATATCATACCCTGCCCTCTGCTACCCTGCCCTCCAATCTTATCTATAAAATGGGAAAATGATCTACTGGAGGTATTATAATTTGGAATAAATTTTAATTTGAAAATAATAAATAAAAGCTCCTAAGTCTATACTGAGGCATTGTTAGAAAGGCAGAATTCCAGGTCCCATCCAAAATCCTGTGAGAACAGCCTGACTTGTAATTAAATTCCTGGGAGATTCATGTGTTTAATATTAAATTTTGGAAGCAGAAGCCCTAATATGTCACCAACATACCCAGGAAGAGTAACTATTTTATAGTTTTGATTCTATGCTTATCCTACATATATATTTGCTTTTCTCATATTGCTCACAGCTGTCCAAATAGGGTTTCCAGATGCAAGGTTTATCTTTTAGCTCATTTTGAGCTGCTATAACAATATACCCGAGACTGGGTAATCTATAATAAGTTAAAATGCACTAGCTTATAGTTCTAGAAGCTTAAAAGTCCAAGGTAAAGGGTCCAGCACCTGGTGAGAACCTTTTGTCTGTACCTTATGACAGAAGGGGAGGGTGCAAGAAAACAAGAGATCCAACTCGGAGCTTAAGACCTTTTAGAATCAGTAGCAACACAACCTTGAGGGTGGAGGCCTTTTGGTCTAAGTGCCTCCCATTCAGCTCATATCACTGTTGCAGTAAGGATTAAGTTTTCAAAACATTCTTTTTGGAAACACATTCACACTATAGCAATATACAGAATCAAAGGAGCAATCTGAAAAGGAAATTAAAATTAAAATTGAATTGAATAATTTCTGACTTGCTATTACAAAGATATGATAAATGTTTGAGGTGATGGTTTTACCAGTTACCTCGTCTGATTTATACACTGTTAATATATAGAAATGTCATACTGTATTCCCAGAAATATGTACAACTATTGTGAGTAGATTCTAAATAGAAAATAAGTGGGTTAAAGGGGGAAATAATTTGGTTAACTGTAGCATAGAAAAGAATAAAATACTTAGAAATATGTTCACAAAAATGTGAGACTTTTCCATTAAAAACAATAAAATATTGATAAAAGAAATTGGGAACGCTCTAAACAGGAAAATACCCATATTCATGGTTCATAAGACATACTAATGTAGCAATATTTTATTTGTGCTCTAACAAATAAAGCTTGCCTGGGGATCAAAGGAAAAAGCCAGCCACGATATTAAGCATGGAGATCAGGCAGTGGTAGCACATACCTTTAATCCTATCAATTCAGGAATCAGAGATTCATCCAGATCTCTGTGAGTTCAAGGCCACACTGGGAACAGAGCCAGGCATGGTGGCACATACCTTTAATCCCAGCACTAGTTAACCATAGAGGTCTGTACAGACAGACAGGAAGTGATGGAGATGGGTGGAAAGAGGAAGTGATTTAGCTGGGAGGAGAGAGGAAGTAAGATGGCAGGGACAGAAATGTTTATAAGGTTTGATTATACAGGAAGTAGCTCTCTTGGGCTGCGGATTTCCTAGTCGTGAGACCTTGTGGCTGGCTTGCTTTATTCCTCTGATCTTTCAGTTTTC